TAAACCATTAGAGTCCTGACTTCATTTATTTCCTAAACAGCTTATATTCAATGTGCCATGGTAAATAATTTATGAGGCTCCTGGTTTAATCAGTTCAATTAAAGGTATTCTAGCTCCAAAGTTCAATGTTCATTAAATATTCAGGATTGATAAGAGATTACTAAAGATGTCCATTAAAAACAAATTGATGCCTATTTGTCTGAGATAGGTTGTAAAACAATTTTGAAAAGTCTGATGCTCTGCCATTTCACTTCAGAAACATTGTGTGAAATGGGTACATTACTGAATTTTCTGAAGAGTGGCTATCCTGTCAAAATTGTTCTAAGAGAACATCATAAAATTGTCCATGAAATCATACACACACAAAAAAGGACAACATCCAAGGATTTTCAAGTTTCTCTTGTTTGTTTTAAAAGTGTTTATGATTCCAAGATAAGATCACTAGGTAAAATGGGATTTGTGGGGAAGAAGCAAGGTTATTTGCTCACTAATACCAAACTTTTCTGAAGTTTGCAAAACAACAACAACCCAACAACTAAATAACGAACTAGATTTCAGGAGGATACATAAGTCAAGGGGAGCTTTATAGGCTACGTAATTGCTATCTGGGGGAAACAAAACACTGAATTTGGTAAGAACCAGCTGTCAAGCATGAATATGGCAATATCACAGAATATTTTTATTACTTCAGGACAATAGCCATCACTGAAGACAGAATGAATTTTGTTCGTAGATCATTTCATAGATAATCAGCCCATAAGCTGAAATGAAAATTGTTCATAGATCAAAGCAATGATCCCAAACTTACAATTAAGTCTACAACAGGATGAATGGAACAGAATAAAATGAGTCAAAATATTTCTGAAAGGTTCAATGAGTGTCTAAAACTCCATAGAAATTCACCAGGGCTTAAAAGAAAGTAGTTTTGCAAGAGATCCTCAAATATGAGTGATTTTAAACAAATTACAATATAAGAATGGACAAAATTGCCTGTGCCGCATTGTAAAAGACTCATAATTATGGTTATGATATATTGTTATAATAGATTCCAAACTGATGAAACCAATTACAGTACTGACTTGATGGAGCAAATTGCTTTTTCACAAATAAAATATGAAATAAATAGGCACTAAATGTTGCACTTATCTGCTCACTCAGACTTTAAATATCAGTATGGACTAATATTCAGTGGCAAATTATATGCAAAAATTCATTAAAAAAATCAAAGGGGGCAATATTCTTCACAGAATTATAAGATACAAACACTTTGCTGATGGCATGGAGATATTTATTTAAAATTCTCTAAATCTAACCCTTCTTTTGCATTTTGGTTTATTATAATAGTAATTGAAAATACTGACTCGATTCTATAGCCAAAAGATTATTTATGATTGCAATCTGCCCAGAGTAATCCTGGTGTAAAATTGATGGCCAATAAATTTTACAAATAAATAAAATGTGTCATTTATATTGTGCTTATCCTTCACTGAGTTCAGCATGATTATGTGTCATTTCCAATTAATTCATCAAGCAAGAACAGCTTAACTTCTAACAGCTTTCTACATTATGTGTTTTCAGACATGTCTCACAATGACTACCCCTAAGAGATAAATTGTGACTAACCAAAGACGAAGTTTCAAGGATATGAACTCTTCTTCCTCCCAAACTCAACATTATAATGGTCATCTGTCTTTTGGCTCTAAAGGAATACGTTGCAGCAATTATTTTTTATTTTAAGCCCAAAATGTAAGATCTCAACAGCAAATATTACTGTCATCACAATAAGAAATGCCAGATTCTAACATCACATTCAAAGCGGCACCTACTTCTGAGTAGTGATTAGTAATTCATTTGTTCTTCATGAAGTATTGTGGTGAAGGAATTAAGTATGGAACATTGAGAATAAACAGCCTGAGATTCAAAGTCATACTTGGCCATAAAACCCAATAAATTACTTTGGCCAGTTGATGTTTTTTTGTCTTGACGTATTCCATTGGACTTTATAGAATAATACTTAGAGGAAAGGAGTACAAATGTAACAAATACACTTATAAAGTATTTTTAAATACTGTTTTTGTTTCAAACCTAATAATGGGGAATGAGAGATTTGTAATTAATTGATGCTAATCAACAATCTGTTTATGGAAAGAAGGGCACCTCCTAGAGCAGAAAAAATACTTTAGATAATTTTGATAAGAAACATAATTTTGTCTTAAAAACAAAATCAATTATTTTCCACAAAATAAATATCTTCAGACAGCATTTAACAGCTTAAATCTAATTACATTTAGTTACAGTCATAGTATTTATTCAAGGGGAAAAGGTTTTAAATATGCAATAACTTATCTACATTCTTCTTAATCACTGAGAGATTTTTTAAAATTTCATTCTTCTCATTATTTTCATTCTACACTGACATCTACCATTCATGACACAAACCGTATTTGATCTATTTAAACCAGGGGTCGGCAACCTTTTGGACCTCAGGGACCACCAAAATCATACTTTTAAATCCTGAGGACCACTAATGCAATTTTTTTAAAAGTTAATATATTTAATATTTAAAAAAAATTATATTAAATATTATATTATATTATTTATATTATATTATTATATTAATTGTATTATAATATATTATATTATATTATTATATTATATTATATTAATTTATTATATTATATTATATTATATTATATTATATTAATTAATTATATTATATTATATTATAATAAATTATAATAAATTATATTATAATATTATAATATTATATATATCTATATATCTATATATCTATATCTATATATATATATATATATATAGATATAGATATAGATATATAGATATAGATATAGATATAGATATATATATATATATAGATATATATATTTTCTGAGGTTTTCATGGGTATTTGTATGTGGATCTTTGGTTATTCGGGTTTTCTCCCGTGTAAAATTGGAAGTATCTAGGCGACGTTTCGATGAAGTCTCATTCATCATCTTCAGGCTTGTGTCTTCGGCTTTGTGCTTCTCGGAGTAATGTGAGCTTGCAGTTGCTTCTTCCTTTTAACTGCTAGTGGGGGTGTGACTTGATTGGGTGGGTGCTTGGCTGTGTTCTGATTGGCTGGGGGGGTGTTCTCATTGGTTGGGTGTTTGGCTGTGTTCTGATTGGTTGGGGGGTTGGCTGTGTTCTGATTGGCTGGGGGTGTGTTCTGTTCAGGTGGGGGCTTAGTTGTGCTCAGGTTAGTTGCTGGGGGATTTGAGCTGGTGAGCTGTGATCCTGCTGTTTGGCCTCACTTTCGTGGTCGTGCCACATCTTCATGGTGGGTGTCAGTTTGTTTCATGTATGGGTCAGAGGGGTTTGAAGCGGGTAGTGATGCAGCTGCGGTACGGCGTCTGGTCCGTGGTCGTGTCTCATCTTCTGTGTGGGTGTGAGTCTGCTCTCTACGTGGAAGTGTGGTGGTAGCATCTTGTGTGGCCCTCATGCGTGTGGGTCTGGTGTCATTCTTCATGTTAGGTACTCGTTTGTTCATGAGGGCGGGTTTCCAAATGGCTGGTAGGCGGGAGGTATCATCTCGTTTATTCATGCTGTGTGGGCGTTTTTCTATCTCTATGGCTTCTCTGATTATTCTGTTGTTGAAGTGTTCGGGTTTGGCGACAGTTCTGGTATTTTTAAAGTCAATCTCATGTCCTGTGGCTTTGAGGTGTTGGACCAGGGAAGAGGTCGGTTCTTCTTTTTTGATTGAGTTCTTGTGTTCTTCAATGCGTGCGCTTATTCTTCTGTTAGTTTGTCTGATGTATGTGGTGGGGCAGGCGGTGCAAGGGATTTCATATACTCCTTGGTTTTCTAACTCGATTTTGTCTTTAGGGTTTCTTAGGATGGTGGATATTTTTCTGTTTGTGCAGAATGCTGTTTTAATGTTGTGTTTTTGGAGGATCTTGCTGATTTTGTCTGTAGTGCCTTTTATATATGGGAGGAGGGCTTTGCCATTCTCTTGTTCTCTGTCTTGGATTTTGGTTGGGGTTTCTTTTTTGATTAGGTGGGTAATCTTCTTTCTTTGGAATCCATTGGCTGTTAGTACGTTAGTGAGAATGTGTAGTTCGGTTTTAATGACGTGGGAAAATACCCGAACAAAGCTGAATACCATAAATATATATACATACCGTGTTTCTCACATAATAAGGCCGGGCCTTATTTTTTTTTGAGCCCCGAAAAAACGGATAGGCCGTCTTTTCGGGGGTAACTTAATTTCCCCCCTTTCATCCTCATCTAGAGCACCCCGCGGGCAGCCTCGCCACCAGCCGCTCCTAACGGGCGATCATGGCGAAGCGCAGAGAGCTCCCTACTCCCACCAAACACCTTTGCTGCAGACCCAAGACCTTTGGCACCTGCCACTGTTGCTTTCCCTTCTGCCCATTCCGCTGCCGTTTGGAGTGCCATTGGAGCTGCTGCCGTTTGGAGCTGCCTCTGCCGTTTGGAGCCGCCGCCGTTTGGAGTGCCGTTGGAGCTGCTGCCGCCGTTTGGAGCTGCCTCTGCCGTTTGGAGCTGCCTCTGCCGTTTGGAGCTGCCGCCGCCGTTTGAAGCTGCCGCTTCCGCGTTTGGAGCACCACCGCCTCTCCAAACACGGCAGCAGCTCCAAACACGGAAGCGGCAGCTCCAAACGGCGGCGGCAGTGCTCCAAACGCGGAAGCGGCAGCTTCAAACGGCGGCGGCTCCAAACGGCAGAGGCAGCTCCAAACGGCAGAGGCAGCTCCAAACGGCGGCAGCAGCTCCAACGGCACTCCAAACGGCGGTGGCAGCTCCAACGGCACTCCAAATGGCAAGTCCCCCCACCCTTCCCCCTATTTTGCATGTTTTAAACTAGGCCTAAATTGGGGGGGGAGGGGCTTAATTTGATTTTATGCCTAGAAAACATGCTGGGTCTTCCTATTGGTGGAGGCCGTATTGTTGGAGAAACACGGTACATACATACATACATACATACATACATTACACACACACTTATTTAATTACAACAAAAACATAAATGCTTAATGATAACAAAATAAAACGTTCTGGGCTGGAAACTTCCCCCCACCTGCACCTTCCAAAAAAGACTGAAGAGCGGAGCTGAGGGGCCTTGGGGCAACTGCCGCTGGGAGAAGCAGAGGCAGAAAGGGGGCTTTGCTCTCCTTTGCCGCCATTCCAGGAGCTTCTCAGCAGGCATCTGCCTACAGAAGGACTGCTGCCCTTGGTGATTAATTGGGGGGAGGGGAGGGGGAGAAAATGGGAGCTCTTTTCAGATCCCGGGTGGAGGATTGAGAAAGCTCAGATCTGCAGCTGAGGAAAGACGGGGGGGGGGGGGCTCTTCCAGCCACACCTGGAGACAGGCAAGGAAAGGTGTCCCTGGGGGCACTTCACTTGCTTTAGTGCTGCTGCCAAACCCAGCCACAGCCAGTGATTATTTGGGGGTGGGGGAAGGGGGGAGAGAGAGGGAGAGAGAGAGAGAGAGAAAAGCATATCTCGCATTACCAGGGGAGGAAAGGAGTTGAAACAAAGCTCACTCTTTCACCAAGACCTACAACACGCCAATCCACCACGTTCTAGTAGTTCTTCAAAATCACCAAACGCTCCCACTAGCAGTTCTCATGCTTCCCGGCTCTTCGAGGCTTTGATGTCCCGGCTCTTCGAGGGACATCGAAGCCTCGGAGATGCAGGCAAAGCCGCTGCCGCAGTAGCGCTTGAGTTGCCTTAGCATGCTCAATTAGTGCAGAATCTCCCTACCCAGAGAAGGAGGTGCTGGAGGAGGAGGTGGCAGTAGTGGAGAAGCAAGCAACTCAGGGCACTACTGCTGCAGTGGCTTTGCCTGCATCTCTGAGGCTTCGATGTTGGGAAAGGCAGCGAGGGCTGGAGGAGCCGAGAGCTGCGCACGGCTCCGTCTCCCTTTCCTAGCCTGTCTGCACATGGGTGCGGGGGGAAGGAAAGAGAGAGAGGCAGGAGCAATTCAAAGCTAGAGAACTAATGGGGAGAGCTAACAATGGGCGCTGGGGAGGGGGCTGTTGTTGCCGCCACCCACCAGGTATGGGAGCTGGTTGGCGCGTGCATCTCAGGGACCTGACTCCAAGGTCTCTCAAAGAGCCGGGAGACGTGAGAACTGTGCAGCCCAGATTAATTGCTTTCAGGGGCCATTTCTTCTGTGGCCCACCAAAATTTTTCCACTGCCCAGCAGTGGGCCGTGGCCCACCAGTTGGCAACTGCTGATTTAAACTATATTTGTTTGGAAAATTATATAGACCAAATAAGTAATAAAGAATATTACCAGCAAATGCAGATTGTTTTAAGAGAAATTTAAAAAATGCTGATGTTTATTCCAGCAATGCCAAATACTGTGCTGTATTTGTTACTTTCTCAAGGTATAGCTTGCTAGTTGTCAGGACTGATATATTCTGCTAAATTGTTATTTCTGAGAAAACATTTATCAGAAACTGAGATTTATTTGTACTGAAATAAATCCTTTTTATTTAACTTAATTCTATTAATAATGTACTGTTTTGCTTGAAAATATATCCATTTTAAAAATATGATATAAATAAAGTAAAACCATTCCAAATACCAGCAGTTTGTCCTGGAAACTTAAAAGTAACTTACATTTATTTGATTTATATACTGTTGCTTATGGTAAATAAAATTAAGAAATAGCTACAGAAACATCCTCAGTATCCAACCATATTGTAAAATCAATACCTATTAAAGATGCTTCCAAGTAAACACATACTATTCAAAATATATTGTGCATCTTGTGCCGTCTCTTTTTTTGGAAGCATGGAAGAAATGGTGGGAAAAAATGATGTTCCTAATGTCAAATAATAAAACACATACTTTTCTTATCAAGCTTCATTTGGGTAGATGCTTATAATAAGCTATTACAGTCTTATGATGAAGATATGTACTTTTGTAATTCAATCATCATAGACAAAACACAAACCTGGAAGTTTGCTATGATGAAAATCCCCAAACAGCTAGCCATTCCAAACGCTAAGCCAGCCTTATTGAGTCTGAGCAACTTAGGTTCTTCAGGGTTCAAAGCACTGACTTGTTTGTATCGAACATACACGGTGGCAACGCCTGTGAATGAACAATTGAAGCAGAGTAAGAATAGAGAATATCAAATGTAATGAAGACTAAGTAATAATTATCGCCACATGAAAACTGTGGTCTTTATGCAAGACATAATAAAAGAATTGTAGAAGTAAATTAACTGTTTGAGGACTCCTTTCATGCTAGATATAAGGGGTATGGAGAAACATGCCAACCATGATCCAGCCATCCAATAACTACAGTTAAGTAACTATAGCTTACATACTCTGAATGTAAAGTGTAAAGTGAGATGTCATTTAGCTATTCCTGCAATAGCTTAACATCCTTTGCTCCCCTATTCTGCCCAAATGTTATTCTCAAATACACATACCAACTGCATTATCCCAAACATCTTTCAGTGAATGTTCTTTTCCTTTAGTTAAGATTTATTCATCTCTGTAGTCCAGGGCTGGGATTCTACCGGTTCGGACCAGTTCTATAGAACCGGTTGTTATGGTTCCCGGTAGTTCGGAGAACTGGTAAAACAGCCCCCTGGCTGGCCCCACCCCTCTGCCCACTTCTCCGCTCTCTGCCCAGTCAGTCCCTATTGCACATGCGCAACATCGTGTGCTTTTGCCTGCCAGGCCAGCCATTGTTGCTTGCCTTTTGCTGCGGCAGAGCAAAAAACTTACAAGTCCCCCTCCCTTCGGGAATCAGTTGAATCTTGTTTCTCTCTGCTGCCCAGGAGCCGTTTCCGAAGGGAGGGAGACTTGCAAAGGTTTTGCTCTGCCAGGAGAGGCTCTCCCAGCAAGAGCAGGTGAGAGAAGCAGGCCAGAGCCTTTAAAGGTAGGCTTTAAAGCGTACCTGCTGCTTTAAAGCCTACCGCTTTAAGCGTGAGCACCCGCTGTCCCAGCCCTCCAAAAGTATCTCCCAGTGGAATGGCGACAGCTGGGGTGGGGGGTGCTCAAGGTCCCATTGCAGAGTCTGATTGCAAGGTCCCATCATACTTAAAGCGGTCCCATTGCAAAGTCCCGTCATGCCTGCCTGCCACTTTAGGCATGACGGGACCTTACAACAGGACCCTGCAACAGGACCGTGAGCACCCCCCACCCCAGCCGTTGCCCTCCACTGGGAGATGCTTTTGGAAGGCTGGGGCAGCGGGTGCTCACACTTAAAGTGATCCTGTTGTAAAGTCCCATCATGCCTGCCTGCCGTTTTAAGCATGCTGCTTTAAAGCCTGCCTGCCGCTTTAAGTGTGAGCACCCACTGCCCCAGCCCTCCGAAAGCCTCTCTCAGTGGAGCGGCAACAACTAGGGTGGGGGGGGTGCTCAAGGTCCCATTGCAGTTACACGCCACCCCCACCCCCACCTCCCCCCTTTCTTCCTTTACCCCCCACCTGCTGCTGACTAGAGCTGTTTGTCCCAGACCAGGTGTGTGTGTGTGTGTGTGAGTGAGAGAGGGGGGGGGAGAGGGGGGGAGGGGGGGAAGAAAGGAGGGAGAGAGAGGGAAAGAGAAAGAAAGAGAGGGAAAAGGAAAAGAATCCACCCCTGGGTGGCTGCCCCCAGAGTGACAGAGATGGAAGGAATAATGGGGTCATACAGAAATTCAGCATACAGGCATCGGATCCTGATTGCATCAGGAACCTTTTGTTTACAATATCTGTAAATTTGGAATTTTCCCTTCTGTGCTACAAATTCATTTTTGTTAAGAGCATGGGATGTTTGAGTGTTACATTTCTGAAATGTTTTTTCTGTTCATTCATGGAAGTCATTAACTTTGATTTGTCAGTCTTGGGTTGCCTGATTATTAACTTCAGGTGAATTCTTGAGGTTATATAGAGTCTAAGTAAATAATAAAGTTTCTCCATTCACAGTTCCTAATGTCTAGTTTTTTGAAGAAAGGATCATTTCTAAAGATGTTATTATTCTTGTAAAATTTGTTTTGTTTGTGTAAGTTCTCTGCAACAATGTCACATAGAGAGACACAAATGAAGAGAAAGAATATCTGGCTATGAGTGTCACGGGATAAAAGTATTGAGCCTGAGGCTCCTGTTTTGCCTGCGATCTTGGATTGGGGTTTGAGGGCTGTAAAGTCTCCAGTCTCTTTTACATCTACATAACTACAACTGTTGTTCTTGGTTCTGATCTGGTTCAATAGCTTGTGATACAATGTAAGAAGGATGTTGAGGAACAAAGAGTGAAAGGGTGCAGAAGTATTTATCCAGAATTTAAGGTTGGGCTCCTGGGGAGAAGGAGCATCTTTGGGACTGAAACTCATGTACTGTAGATACAAGAAGCACCAGTTGTGTCTAGGAAGGGTCACCAATCTGAAACGTTAAAAGCTGCATGATTCTGCAGGCCTCAGTAGGGAGCTTCCTTCCTTCCTTCCTTCCTTCCTTCCTCCCTCCCTTCCTTCCTCCCTTCCTTCCTTCCTTCCTTCCTTCCTTCCTTCCTTCCTTCCTTCCT